AATTTATATATATATATATAAAATTTTCTGAGGCATTTCTGTTTAAAATTTGTTCTTTTCTAATGGCACTTAAAAGTTTTAATTCCCAACCTGGCTAACAGTAACCTGAAGAAGACCTGCACACAGTTCCTGCAGCACAGGAGCGTGGCAGTAAGCCTCTGCTGCATGGGTCCTGTAGCCCAGGTTAGAAAATTAATCTATCACCCTCTACTCAGACCTGCAGCTTGAAAAGGGGATCCCCCATGGCAGCCTAGTTTTTGTTTTCTACAATAATGGGTCATCTCTCCCAGGAGGATGTTTCATTTGTAATCAGTACTGAATTTTTCAAGTGGTATGGAAATGTTGGAGCAGGATGTTTCACCCAAATAGTACTACTCAGGATAAAGTAACAGACTGGCCCTTAACTGATTTCAGCCCATCTTTCACTATTTAAGTTCTTTGTTTACAAGTTATGTTAATTATATTCACGAGTTGTCAGAGGAACAGAAAAAAGACATGGTGGCAGGACTGACAGTGCTCTTCCCTGATAAAAATAAATGCAGCTTTCCTAAAGACACAATGAATGAAATTCAGGAAGAACCAAAGACATGCTGCAGTCTGGTCTGAAATCCTCACTGCCTTCATTTAGGTGGCCAAAGTTTGGGAGAGTTCCTCACACTCAGTTCCAGCAGCATCTCACACCACCACTCCCACATACCCTTCCTACCCAGCACTGCACCTTCCCAGAGCCTGGCAGTAGCAATTCCAACCCTATGCTAAGTAAGTCATCCAATGGAAATAAGCCCTCAAACCTAAATTTAACTTCTAGGGATATAATAAATTCAATATATCTGAGTCCTATTAAAAATAAATGGGAACTGGTGCCCGTGGTGCTTATCATCCTGGGAAATTTAAGGTGCCAAGAGAAATGAGAATGAAGAGGGGAAATGTGATAAACACATTTGACATTCAACAGATCCACTCCTGGAATGTATCCGTGAACACATTTTTCTCCTTCAGCAAAATAAATACTTTGCATTCTTGGTCCCAGGCTGAGCAGGATTGTTTCCTCACTTTTCCATCTATAGAACTGCTTTTCAGACCCGATTTCAAGACTCTATTTAAGGCTATTAATGGTCGATGTCATCAGTGATCCTTCCTGGCATTATCTGTTAGAGATAGCACTGACCTATCTACCTGTTAACTAACATCAGGTAAAATGGAGCCATAGTAATATAAGAATCATGTGTCATTCATGAAATAAACAACAGTTAACTATAAAAGACATTTTCTGAGATTGTATTGTATTCAAAGTCCCCTACAATACAACTAGTTTTTCTAGTTGCAGGGACACAATCTTAAGCATATGTACGACCTGCCACAATTCGGGAGTTCTGTAATAGCTGAAAAAAAAAAGATATTAATTTAATATTGGTTTATTACAAGAAAAGAATACAGATTGGAAGGAGTGGGAAAGAACAAGATCTGGATTAAGAGAAATTAAATTGTCATAGATAACATAGAAATTATCTGTCTAGGTTTTCGGCACTCAAGGCTGTCAGCTCAGTATCTTTCAAAAATATCCACATAATTATGCAGACAAACTTTACTCCATATGGATGTATTTGTTCTGGACTCCTCACCAATCTGGACAAGCCTAGTTGCCTCAACCTGTCTTGATAAGTCAGGTGTGCTGGGACATGGATCATATCTGTTGTTCTTTGTTGGACACCCTCTGGATTCCCATAGATAGATGTTCTGTGTTGCGTCATTTCTAAAAGAAACGCTACTATTTTGTTTACCATGTAATAGAAATAGTCAATCTTTCCACTGCCAGATGGATGAATATCATTCAAGGTGATTTGTAAGGTATCTCCAGGTGCCACAATAGTATGTGGGATGCTGATGCTGAGGTAATTCTGGGAAGCAGACTGGTATCTGTCAGCTCTGACAATGGTTTCAGGTGATTCTAATTTTTCTTTTCCTTCTTCAGCCTTTACCTGTCAGGAAAGAAAAGGACAGAGTGAGTTAAGTGCACCTCAGGGGACAGTATGGAGTGTCACTCTGAATTCATATCTTGCAGATTATTCAGATAATGCTCAGAAATTAGATGAATCATTGCTGAGACATCATTAGCAGAACCTGGCATAAAAAACCTACAGGATTTTAATTATTTTATTCTCTCAACCTATTTTGGCTTTTGCTGTATTTGCACTTGATATTTTTCAGACTTGGCTCTTTCTGAATAAGAATAATTGGCTCAAAATAGCAAAGTGATTTTGTACTTAGATAGCTTGTTTTCCCCTTTTATATTGTGCACATAACTGAACCCTAGGATTGTCCAGACATCACATATGGTCTGCATTGCTCAGGACCTTTTCCTTCACCTTCTCATCATTTTTTGTCACTTCTCATTGTGATATTCCTTACAGTCCCATTTTCATCCTCCATGCCAGAAAAACTCACATTCAAACCACAAAAAGAAGCATTGTTATCACTGATGCACGCATTTCCAGAGCTCCGATGTATGAGACTGCCCTTCACTTACTTCAGTGAGACATCCCTCAGGCCCTGGTGTCTCTAACATATCTCACACAATCTGGACAAAGCTGTGCAAATGGTGTAAGAAATGTTCCACCCTCTGTGCTAATTTGATGAAAACTGGTCATCTTCTCCCTCATTTGTAATTGCCTTATGAGCTCAGCGGTGTATTCTTAAACATGGATGTTTAGGTTTTTATTTACCGTTACTTGAAACTTCTCAATGTCTCCAGGAATGTTGAATGTAAAAGAGGCTACACCCTCTTTATTAGAAAGTGCAGTCTTCTTCACTGGGAGTTCTCCGGGAAAGGTAACGGTAGCAGTGACAGGTACAGAGGCAGCAGGAGAGCCATCAGTCAAAGTGACAGATGCCTATGGGGAAAGAAATGTTTTTGTGTTATTTCAAGGAAATGCCTGGGTTTAAAAAACGCCCACAAACAAGCAATGGTTATTTTTCTAACCTGAGAAGAGTTACAAAGCTGTGCACATCAGTGCTTGAAAATCTGAGCTCTGAGAGGAGGGAGTAGTAATTAACACAGTCTGGACTCCAGCTAAATTGCCAGATTAACAGTTGCCCCAGATGTTCCCTTAGCATCTATTAGATCTCAGCTGATCCCAGAGATGTCTTTAATTACTACAAAGTAAATTTCTAACTTCAACTCTTTGTAGAAAACCGGGTAGGATAACTTGAAAATGTGAAATTTAAAAACTCAGAAACTTAAACTAATTTTTTAGAAAAAAGACAATAACCTATTCTAGTTTTTGGAATTTTAATCTGATCCTAGACAATTTGATAAAACATAATTATTTAAAAATTTTAACATCGAAGTGAAGAAGAGACTGCTTTTATAAATGTTTTATAATGTTTTATAAACGTTTTATAAAACCTTGTAGTGCAACAGATGACTTCCAGAGCAGAAAACCATCATTTACTGTTTTCCTGCTCAGGCTCTGTGTGTCCAGTAACAAGATAAATCAGAGACACAAACAGTAGTTTTGTGTTGGACCTATTCCTGAATGAAGGCCTCTGTCTTACAGAGCTCCCACTGGATCAGATAAGGATTCTAAAAACAGACTAAATATAAATCCCTTGTTGTCGAGGCAAATAGGCACAGCCAGCTGAATACTACATACCACAACAGAGAAAGGGGCTCCAGGCACAAAGTACTTTTTGGTGTTAGACAGATCAACGGCGTAAGGAGATTTCACAAACTTCACATTGCTGAGTTCCTCTTCCCTCATCTCCCCACCTGTTAGTGTCAAACAGTATGTGTTGCTACAGGAGCAATAACTATGTACTTGCATATTACCATAGCATCACCATTTCTGTTTTCAAGATTAATCGCATTTTTTATCAGCGTATATAAAGAAAACGGAAATGTAATCCCTCCCCATAGAGCTTCACTCCTGAGAAGAGGAAGAAATGTGTGCAGACAAATAGGGAACACAACCAGAGAGAGGCGAGTGCAAGGTCAGTGCGACGTGTGCGGAGCTCCATGAGCCGGCACTGGAAAGTGCGTGACCTCGACAGCTCAGACACGGAGACCTGCAAAGCGCTTTGTTACTCATGACATAAAAATTCCTCTCTAACAGGTCAGTTGGAACAAAGCACCTGCAGGCAGGACACACTGGTACCACAGGAGTTACTGTGGCCATGCACCTCTCTTTCAACCTGCTGGGGCTTCATTCCTGGGGAGAGGCTACAAAGTCCAATATCAAAGTCTCTCACAATGAGTATGGGGGGTTGAACCTTAGATCTTTAATTTTCTGAAAGAGAGCTTTTTCATTTTTCATTACTGGTGAGTTAATATTACCTAATATCATCTTCTGCAACTTTGCACCTATGAGAAAACTTAAGCATATGCTTCTCATCTAAGATTCTTCTAGTTAAACCTCTTGTTCTTCTAGTTAACTTCCAATTAAACCACCACCCATAACTGAAAAAAACAAACCCATGGCTTGCCTTAAACTAACTGCATTTAGAGACATATTTTCAATGTCTTTATTTTCCACTTTAACTCTCCAAAGCTGACAGGTGTTAGTAAAGTGCATCGCTGCCCTGTTGTGTACATAATTAATACCAAACCCAGCAAGTACACAAGTGTGCAGCAGAAAGAGGAAGCCTGTGCAGTGTGGTAGAGACCACATTACACCATGAGATCTTAGGCCCATCCTGCTGATGTGGTAAAAAGAGTTCTTTTGGCCCTTTTTGCTCTTGAAATAAACGTTACTGTGGTAGTGTGTCTAAGTACATATGCTAGATTATGCTAAAGAATTGCACAGATGCAATGCATTTGACTTAACTTTGGGATTTTTAGGAATTTTCAGAATTCTAATAACTCTAAGCTAAGTGATTAGACTCCTTCTATAGCCAATGGGAAGGACACCTCAGAGTGCAGGTTAATCTGTCCATTCCCTATGCCAACTATACAAAGTGCCTGAGCTCTGACCAGATACCTTACTTTCAAGTACCTAAAATAAAAGGGATCAATCTCCCTATAAACAAGACAAATCTTGCCTATATTGGAAAGGTCAACTTCATCAGAATCAGCTTTAGGGGTCAGTGCTTCAGAGCTCAGCTTAGCTTCGTATCACTAAGTAGCACTTCCCACAACCCAAATAACCTGTTGACCTCTACATCTAATTCAACCTGGCCCTCACTTGTTTGTAGGTCTGGGGTCTTCTAAATGTGCTTAGCACTGCTGTGAGCAAATACCCACACAAATACCTTGTAATGAACTGTGGAAGTAATTTCCTGCCCTTTAGGAAAACAAAGGCAAATACCCACTGAAAAAGGATAGGCATGCTCTAGGCTTGTGTCCCAGATAGACAGCAAGACCAAGTTATTTGGGCTGCATCGTACTTGTGTATATGTCAAGTATCACCGTCTGATAAAGCTGCGGGAAGGCAAAATAGGACAAGTAGAGCTCACAAGAGCTAGAACTTCCTCTGCATCGCACTGTAGCTGCAATACATACGCTTTACCTTTAGACTGACTGAGTAGCCATCGGAGGTACAAAGCAAGCCAAGGTATCAAGCTCAGTGAATAACCTTGTTTGTATGGAAGGAGTAGACACGGTTGAGGCAAGTGCTCAAGCAAGATCTTAAGGGGAGCAGTTTATTTGTGTTCATGTAAGTGTCTGGTGACACTTCAGGTGGACTAAGCCATCTTGGATATCCCCATAAGCCTGTTTAATATGGGACAAACCCTATAGGAGAGTAGTTAGAGAGCCCTGAGTGCTTTTGGAGCAGCAGTGGGAGGAGTACTGGATACTTGTGCTCAGATCAGTGAATCCCACCCCAGACTAAGTTTGTGTACTGAAAGGGATCAGATGAAAGAGACTATGACACATGATATCATGACCAAGTTCTGCAGCGAAGATTGGTCCAGCAGGACAATATTTCCTATGAAGGATTACACTAGAAAAAGAAAGATCAATGTAAACATTACAGACTGTATCAGCTAAAGCATAATGTACTCACTTGCAGTTTCTACAGTGGTAACAGCAACATATAAATGAAACCCTTCCAGAGTGGAAATACTCTTTCTTAATTTCCCTTCCAAAAGTGATGTACTTAAAGTAACTCTTCCTTTTCCATTTTGAATCTAAAATAAAAGTGAAAAAAGTAATAACCCTTAAGTTTATTGACATTAGAATTAAAAAATCGTTGCCTATAGCATGAATACAGTATTACAGGGATCTATATTTAGGTAATTTCTGAAAAAAAATCAGCTCACCTGGGATAAATCAGAATAGTGTCACTGAATTCCAGTACTTACTGATAGCTGTTGTTCGAGTCCTGGAAGAAAGACTTTTTTCTCATTTTCATCAATTACACCAAATCGCACATATGCAACACCTTGAATTCCTTTCCCATAAGAGTGCCTTTGGAAGGAAGAAAAGCGAGGAGATGCATCATCGCATTAATAAAAATCAAGCATAAATAAGACTAAACATTTTATGCTGAAATAGGATGGGCAGAAATAATAGCTTGAAAAAAAATTATTAGTCCCACTCACTGATAACTCAAACACGAGACTTTTCCTGATCTCAGTACAAATTGATGATTTCAAGTGCAGAGAAATACATGCAGTAATTCACATTGGCCGAATTGCATGTGGAGATGTCATTTGACAACATGTAAACTTTTTAATTTTTCACAAATTAATGAGAACTTCAGTTGCACAGGGAGTTCTCACACTATTCATCCACTTCACAGGAATCAAGGGAGGTATCCAGTCTATTTAGCTTGGATGAACAGCTAATTCCTTTGTATTAGACACCTCATAAGCATTTAAAATAGTGGGCCAGAGAAACAACTCAGGGGTTGATACGAAGTATTTGGTACCTCTGAAGACCTCCAGAGACAGATCCTACCTGCTGATGTTTTGATTCCTGCATAAAGCAGAGTAGACACCCTCTGCCCCACATCTCTTCTATGGATTTAGGTCGTATAGCAACAGGGACTTCTTGTATGTAGGTATCTGGCCAGAACACCCCTGAACTCTCCATATATGTCATGGAGAGAGAGGATAGGGCATGTTGGTGCACCTGGCAGGATCTTTACTCAAGGAAATCTTGGCAGATGACATCCTCTGGCAACACAACATGTAGATGTGCTACGTGAGAACTGTCACAGCCATGATGTTATCTTTTGCTTGTGGAAATCCTACGTCATCTCAGTACTGTACTGGTTTATTTTTATTTATAAAAAGCCTCTTTCAAATTGACCTGATCAGCAGCACTGATCTTTACCAAAGAAACTAACTGAGAGGCAGTTCTTAGGAAAACTGCTTAAAATGCCAGAACTAATAATTGCTAGGAAACAACAATCAATATACTAATTAACTGTTCATTGCATGCATGACCAGCTCAGAGAAATAAGTTCAGTTATCAGGAATTCCATATGTTGATTTTGATGAAAGTCAGGCAGGGCTGTGTAACACCATTAAGACCTTTTCCAATAGACAAAAGAACTGCAGCCAGTTACTTAACCCCATTTTTCCCTCTTAAATAATTACAATGTGGATGGGCAGTGAAGTATACATGAAGGAGTTGCGTAGTCCATAAACTCGAAATCGGGTGCTGCGATAACACACAGAGAAAACTTTAGAAAGGATAAAAATATAAAGCCAGTTATCTGATATCACTTCCTATCACAGTATCAAGTAATCATGATTAAACCAGTAATTATTCAATAGAACCAAATAAAGAAGTGAAGGTGATCGAGAGCCAATTAGTTGAGATTGTTCAGCCAAGCAAAAGGAGGTGGATACAGCACTCTGTCTACTTTCTCAAGGTGCTCCAGGGAAAGGGAGGCTCAGTGCAGTCAAGATGAAGAGCTGAAGGACAGCGGGCAGAAAAACAACAGGGTATAAGCTGGACATGATAAATTTAGACCAGAAATAAAATCTGCTAGAACTATGGGAGATAGAGGATCAGTCTTCCACTACGATACAGTGTCAGGGACCACATAGAAAATCTAGTGACTTCACCCTTTTTGGACCAGATTAATTAAATTAAATGAAATTAAATGAACACAGAACTGTCTTGGAGGCTGTGGCCAGCTGGCACAGCAGTCCACGCCTGCTCAACTAAACCCCCTGTCTTCCACAGCAGGATGGACACATGCAGACCTGCAGTGGACCTTGGTTCATGCTTCTTCCTGAAGAGTTTCCAGAAATTGTTTGGGGAGTGCTGTACAGCTAAGGCCAGGCCTATGTCATGCACCAGCTGAGCCACCAGCTGCCAAAATCTGGGGCTCAGAAGTCTTCCCTGGACCTGTTTAATTTACTACCCAGGTGGCTCAAATATCTTTTCTGGTATCACATTCAAATTCAGACAAAGTTCCTACTGCACGAGGATAATTCCTTATATAAGCATCTAAGAAATAATATCTCAAATATAGTAAATAATGTTTGTGTATAGTAATAATTTGTTATCTGCTCTCAGTTTGGAGGGCTTTCCAGAGTCAAACACAAGACAAAACAGAAATGGTTGCAGTTGTGATGATAGTCAACTGCACTCACAGAATCAATGCTAATATTTAATACCTATTTAACAAAAGGCTACCATAAGCCACGTTATTTACAAGGTTAGTTACTGTCACAAACTTTGGTTAAAGAGATCAGGATTTTTTTATTCTTATCTGTATATTAAATCAGCAATTTCTATACCTAGACCTTTCTTCCCTTCTGTATCAACTGTCTCCTCTCTGCCATCCCCATAAGCTACTGAGATAGACACAACGTATCGAGTAGTGACTTATGAATAAGATATTCTTATACTATTCTACTCTGTGTATATTTGTAAAAGGCAATATTCATAGAATGTGTTGGGCTGGAAGGGACCTTTAAGGGTCATCTAGTCCAACCCCTCTGCAGAGAGTAGGGACTAGATCTTCAACTAGATCAGGTCATTGAGAGGCTTTGTCTAGGAAACTTCGTGAAATACCTTGATAAAATTATACAAGTTATTCTGTAGAATTAGTAAGTTATTAGAATCTAATTTCATTGTTAAAATATCTCCCCAAAAATGTGACTTTTATATTTTTATATCATTAAAAAATAATTGCAAACCATTAATAGTCAGAATTTCAAAAGTAAATTGATATAATAATCTTAACAAGCTTCAAAACTAAATACTGATTATTCAATAAAATATACACTGTGCACTTTCTGCTACTGTGGGTATCATTACTGTACAGAAAATTTGCCAACTCTGTAACACTAAATATATTTGATAGTACTAGCTACAGTAACTCTTGTATCTGTGGTTTTTTGTTAAAGAGTCTTAAGGAACATGGGAAATAAATCTGAAAAGCCATAAGGTGCTG